TCTTTTTCTCGTTTTTTTTTTTTTTTTGGGGGGGGCGCTGATAAGGATGTTGAACAGCTGAACCAATCAGAGACAAAAAAAAGGGGGATGGATTATCTGGATGAGCAGATTCAGTCTTAGTTTTTTTTTTTAAATGGAATAGGTTACGCCATTTTTTTTAAAGCTCTCGCTCATTCTTTCTTTTTTGTCTCCTTTATTAATATCCTTTGTTTTTATTTCAATACTTCTGCTTCGTTTTTTTCCATTTTAATTCTCCTTTTTCCTCGCCCCTTTTTTCCCTCTCTCCCCCTCCCCTTCTACTGTACTTCCCTTTTCCTATTTTTTTTCTCTTCTATCCTTCTATTCCTCTATTCTCTCTTTCCCTCCTTTCTCATCCTTTCCCTTCTCTCTCCCCTTTTTTCTCCCTTTTTCCCCTCCCTCCTCATCCTCTCCATCTATTTCCCCTCCCTCCTCCCCTCTCATCCTCCTCTCATTCCCTCATCTCCCCCTCCCTCCTCTCCTCTCACTCCTCACTCTCTTCTCTCCCCCACCTCCCTCTCTCCTCTCATCCCCCCCTCTTCCTCTTTCCTCCCTTTCCCCCTTCCTTTCCTTCCCTCTCCCATCCTCAGCGCACCACTCATCAGCCGACTATTCAAAGCGGAGACCGAAAGAACAAAAACAAAAAAGCATCGCCATTTAACGTTCCGCGGGAAAGGGGGGGAAGGGGGGATACGAGGCTACTAGTCATTCTCCTTATTGATCGTGGGCTCGTATCCCTTCCTACGATAGGAACGAGTCTCTCTTCATTTACGTTTTTTTCTTATCTTTAAACAATAACGAGTCTCCTCATTACGTTTTTTTTCTTTCGTCTTTAAATAATTTCCTAATCAACAGTAAAATTCCTTTCATATGAATAATTAAAATAAAATAGGGGGAGATTAACAGATGGTATATTTTCTTCTCTCTTTCCTGAGGCACAGTAAATTCCCTTCTTAAAAATTGAATAAAGTAGAATAGGGGGATGGAGATTGCTGTGCGTTCGTAACTCACGGAAAAAACAGCTGGTTTATTTTCCTCTATTTCCTAATACACGATAAAATTCCTTTACTATAAATAAATAGAATAAAATGGAAGATTGTTGTGCGTTCGAAGTTCACGAAAATAACAGCAGCTGGTTCATTTCCCTCCTTATATCTCCCAAGGCACAATAAAATTCCTTCCTAATAAAAGATCAAATAAAATAGAAGAGACTTTTGTGCGTTCGTAACTCACTTAAAAGCAACAGCTGGTTTATTTTCCCCTATTTCCTAATAAACGATAAAATTCCTTTCCTCTAGACAAAATAAAATAAAACAGGGCTCGACTGGTGTGCGTTCGTAGCCCACGGAAAAAAAGAACAGCTGGTTTGCAACAGAACGGCGCGGATGTGAACGAAAAGCGCTCGCTGGCAGGGCGGTGGAATCGGCAGTTCACGTAACGAGAGCAATATACGAGCGCACGTGCCCTTCCCGTACACAGAGGAGTCGTAAAAAAAAAGAGAGAGCGATGATTCCAGAACTCTCCCCGCGCCGTCAAAATCAATCGCACGCACTCGCATTCAAACGAACGCTTAAAATAAAAAAACGATTTTATATCCGCCATTTCCCTCTGTCGTGCTTTGTACATTTCCTCTTTATCACGCCATTTGGGAGTCTCTTGTGATCCGAACTGCTTCATAGGATACCCGCAGCCTACATCATACCCGCATCCACACCATACCTTTCTGCGTTCAAACATCCACCCACACCATACCTTCCTGTATTCACATTCATCCACATCATGTCTAAACTCCCTCGCCGCACCACACCTACACCCTATCCACACTACCCCAACCACACCATTCCCGCCCACGAACCTTCCTTCAACCACACCAACGAGGCACCATACCCGCACTATCCGCACCTAAGACCTACACGCTATCCTCACCAACCTTAAACCCCCCCCCCAAAAAAAAAAAAAACAATAATAAAAGAATATAAATAAATAAATAAATAAAAGCAGTCTCGAATATGTCTCTACCGGTTTCTTTTTTTGGAATAAATCGAAGAAGAGATATAACGGATGTTCCAAAGATGCGGATATGCGGATGTGCAAATGTGGATGCGATCACACATCTCTTAAAATCGCGAGTCAACACCTGCGGATATTCGATTTCTTCGAGACTGCGGTCGCGGATGCAGCACCGGGTCCCATATGAATGCGGATAATCTGTGGATGCGGATATCCTGGCACACCTCTGCCGGTACTTATCTAAATGCACCCAATCCGTCGTAAAAAAAAGAGTTAAATTCACAATGCGAGTTTATTAATTGGCAATAACATGAGGGGAAAAATTGCAATGCGAGTTTATTAATTAACATGAGGGGGAAAAAATTGCACTTTGCCGAGATCGCGACAGAATGAGATGTGAGGTTTTTATGAGGGCGTGAGGTGGGGGGGCGGCGTGGATGAGGGGACACGGATGCTTTTCCTTTCACTTTCTGTTAATCGAAGTCTGTTTCTTTGCGATGGTTTGTCATTCTGTCGGCCTTTCTGTGCCTTTGAGTGTGTCTGTGTCATTCTGTCTGTCTTTGCGTGTTTGTGTGTCAATCTGTGTGTCTTCTCTGTGTCAGTCTTGTGTCGTCGAGCGTCTGTCTCATTCTGTGTCCGTCTTTCTGTGTCTCTTTGTCATTCTGTCTATATCTTTCTCTTTCTTTATGAGGGGAATGAGGTACAACGCATCTAAGAATCAAACAGTAAAGCAAAATTACCGGGCCCTTTAAGAGATGCCAGAAAAAAAAGTACAGATCCTGAATCAGCTGTTCAAAATATGTTCAAATTTCCTCCTCCTCGCGTGCCGCTACGAGGAAGGTAAACAACTCCACTTGTTCCATCTCTTTCTCCTCCTACTCCCCTCCCCTATTCCTCCCCCTCTGTACCCCCAGCAGCCGGGGGATGTTCCAGGGTTGAGCAACTCCTCGTCTCTTCTCTCATACCTCTATCTCCCCATCCTTCCCCACCCCTTGATACCCCCTCTCCCCCCTTTCCCACCCTTTGATACCCCCTCTCCCCCCTTTCCCACCCCTTCTACCCACACCCCTCATACCTCCTCTCTCCTCCTTATTCTTGCTTTCAACTATCCACTCATCCACCTACTGTGCCCTTCCCATCTCCCAACCACTATTCCCTTCATCCACCTACCCTCCCCACCATTCTCTAGTCCATCCACCGAGCCTCTCTTCCACCCAACCCCTCCACTCTCCTGTCTCCACCCACCCTCCTCTCCATCCGACCCTTCCTACCACCACCCCCCCTACTCTCCTCTCCACTCCACCCACCCACTCTCCTCTCCACCCGACCCTTCCTACCACCCACCCACCCACCACATACCCTCCTCTCCACCCGACCCCTCATACCACCCACCCACCCACCCTCCTCTCCACCCGACCCCTCCTGCCACCCACCCACCCACCTGAGCCGTCCAAAGCAGTGGCGTTGCAACACCGCAGTCGGAAAACCCCCCTTTGCCAAGATCAACCCCCCCCCACCCGCCGCCGGTGCTCTCAAACAAAAAAACACATGGGGGGATGGGGGATGAGGGTGAGAGGGGGATGAAAGGGGGCGGGGGTGAGGGTAAAGGGAGACTGGGTATAGGATGGTGGCCGGGGGAGGAGGGGGGGATGGAGTAGATCGAGAAAGAAACGTAAAACACCGAGTTGAGGTGTTGTGCAACTGCGCGTGTGTGTGTGTGGATGGGTGTGTGTGTATGCGTGTATGCGTGTATGTGTGTGTGTGTATGTGTGTTGTGTGTGTGTGTGTGTGTGTGTGTGTGTGTGTGTGTGTGTGTGTGTGTGTGTGTGTGTGTGTGTGTGTGTGCGTGTGTGTGCGTGTGCGTGTGCGTGTGCGTGGATGTGTGTGTTTGGTGCGTTGTGTGGTGTGTTTTGTGTGCGTGTGTGGTGGGTGTGTGTGTATGTGTATGTGTATGTGTATGTGTATGTGTGTGTGTGTGTGGTGTGTGTGTGTGTATGTGTGTGTGTGTGTGTGTGTGTGTGTGTGTGTGTGTGTGTGTGTGTGTATGTGTGTGTGTGTGTGTGTGTGTGTTGTGTGTGTGTGTGTGTGTGTGTGTGTGTGTGTGTGTGTGTGTGTGTGTGTGGTGTGTGTGTGTGTGTGTGTGCGTGTGTGTGTGTGTGTGTGTGTGTGCGTGTGTGTGTGTGTGTTTGCGCGCGCGCGCGCGTGTGTGTATGCTAGAGTCTGTTAGTACTGTGATCCCACACACACACACACTCACCTCACTCACCCTTCCTTCCTCTCCCCTTTTATGTGGTCTATTCACCTGTTCAGGCATCGCTGTGTCTGAATCTCTCTCGCTATAGCTCTCACTCACTCGCTCGTAAACAAGGTCATTTTACCCTTTTTTAGAATGTCTGTCTTGTTATGTCTCAGTCCATTTATGTCTCCCTCCCTTTCTTGCTGCCGTCTATCTACGCCTGTGTCCACGTGTATGCCTTTATCTATGTCTAAGCCTACGACGTCTATGTCTATGGTTATGGCTAAGCCTAGGTTTATGTTGAAGTCATTGTACAAGTCCCTGTCTATGTCTATGGTTAAGCCATTGTTTAAGCCTGCCTGTTTCTAAGCCTGCCCATGTCTAAGCCTGCCCATGCCTAAGCCTGCCCATGTCTAAGCCTGTTTCTTAATGTCAATGTCTAATGCCATGTCTAAGCCTCATGTCTAAGCTGCCCCATGTCTAAGCTGCCCATGTCTAAGGCTGCCCATGTCTAGCCGCCCATGTCTAAGCCCGGCCCATGTCTAAGCTGCCCATGTCCAAGCCCGTCCATGTCTAAGCCATGTCTAAGCCCGCCCATGTCTAAGCCCGTCCATGTCTAAGCCTGCCCATGTCTAGCCTGCCATGTCTAAGCCCGTCCATTCTAGCCTGCCCATGTCTAAGCCCGCCCATGTCTAAGCCCGTCCATGTCTAAGCCCGCCCATGTCTAAGCCCGTCCATGTCTCAGCCCTGTCTCAGCCCGTCCATGTCTCAGCCCGTCCATGTCTTCAGCCCTCCCCATGTCTCAGCCCCCGCCCATGTCTCAGGCCCGTCCATGTCTCAGCCCGTCCATGTCTCAGCCTGGTCTCAGCCATGTCTCAGCCCGTCCATGTCTCAGCCTGCCCATGTCTCAGCCTGCCCCATGTCTCAGCCCGTCCATGCCTCAGCCCCTGCCCATGTCTCAGCCATGTCTCAGCCCGTCCATGTCAGCCCTCCATGTCCATGTCTCAGCCCGCGTCATGTCTCAGCCCGTCCATGTCCAGTCTCCATCTCAGCCCGTCCAGCTCAGCCTGTCCATGTCTCAGCCCGTCCATGCTCAGCCCATGGTCCATGTCTCAGCCCGTCCATGTCTCAGCCCATGTCTCACATGTCTAAGCCCGTCCATGTCTCAGCCTGCCCATGTCTCAGCCCGTCCATGTCTCAGCCCGTCCATGTCTCAGCCCGTCCATGTCTCAGCCCGTCCATGTCTCAGCCTGCCCATGTCTCAGCCCGCCCATGTCTCAGCCCGTCCATGTCTCAGCCCGCCCCCAGTCTCAGCCCGCCCATGTCTCAGCCCGTCCATGTCTCAAGCCCGTCCATGTCCCTCAGCCCGCCCATGTCGTCATGTCTCAGCCCAAGTCCATGTCTCAGCCGTCCATGTCTCTCATGCTCAGCGTCCATGTCTGTCTCAGCCCGTCCATGTCTCAGCCGTCCATGTCTCAGCCCGTCCATCTCAGCCGCCCATGTCTCTAGCCCGTCCATGTTCTGTCTCAGCCCGCCCATGTTCAGCCCGTCCATGTCTCAGCCCGTCCCATGTCTCAGCCCCGTCCATGCTCAGCCTGTCTCAGCCCGTCCATGTCTCAGCCCGTCCATGTCTCAGCCCGCCCATGTCTCAGCCTGTCCATGTCTCAGCCCGTCCATCCAGCCCGTCTCAGCCCGCCCCTCAGCATGTCTCAGCCCGCCCAGTCTCAGCCCGCCCATGTCTCAGCCGTCCATGTCTCTCAGCCCGTTCCATGTCTCAAGCCCGTCCAGTCTCAGCCCGTCCATGTCTCAGCCTGCCCATGTCTCAGCCCGTCCATGTCTCAGCCCGCCCATGTCTCAGCCTCCATGTCTCAGCCCGTCCATGTCCTCAGCCCGTCCATGTCTCAGCCCGCCTGCCCATGTCTCGCCCGTCCATGTCTCAAGCCCGTCCATGTCTCAGCCCGTCCATGTCTCAGCCCCGTCCATGTCCGTCCATGTCTCAGCCCGTCCATGTCTCAGCCTGCCCATGTTCAGCCTGCCCATGTCTCAGCCCTTCATTGTCTCAGCCCGCCCATGTCTCAAGCCCGTCCATGTCTCAGCCCCTCATGTCTCAGCCCGTCCATGTCTCAGCCCGCCCATGTCTCAGAGCCATGTCTCAGCCCGCCATGTCTCAGCCCGTCCATGTCTCAGCCCCCATGTCATGCCCATTCTCAGCCCGTCCATGTCTCAGCCTCCATGTCTCAGCCCGTCCATGTCTCAGCCTGCCCATGTCTAAGCCTCATGTCTAATGTTCTAAGCCTGTCCATGTCTAAGCCTGCTACCCATGTCTATTCTGGCTCTCTTGTCTACCTGTCTCCTCTGAAAAGACCCGAAGCGAGCGTGTTTCGCCACCAGCCTCGTTCTGTCAAGAGCACACCAGGTTCCTCTTCCTAACACCCCCCCACCCCACCCTGTACACCCCACGCCACCCCCCACCCACCCCCTGTAACCCCACCGCCACCCCCACCCCTGTACCCCACCTCCACCCCTCTCCTACACACCGACACCCCCCCACCCCTTTCCTGTACCGAACCCGACCCCACCCCTAACCCTCCACCCACCCCACCCTTGTACCCACCCCAACGCCGCCCACACGTCCACGCCCCTCGCAGGTTCGGCGGGGCGAGCAACGCGTGGAAGGGCCGGAGTGGGGAGGTGGGAGTGGGGGACGAGGGAAGAAAGAAAGGGAACGAGAGAGGACGAACGGAAGCCGGGAAGAGGAGAGGATGATGAGGAGGAAGATGAGGAAGGAAGGAGGTGAAGAAGGAGGGAGTAGGAAGGAAGGGAAAGGGAGTAGGGATTAGGAAGGAATGAAGGAAGTAGAAGAGAAGGGAAGGATAGGAAGCGAATGAAAGAAGTAGGAAGGGAGTAGAAGCGAAGCGAAAGAAGGGATGCCGAGAGAGGGAAAGGGAGAGGGAATAATAGGAAAGGAAAGGATGCTCTGGAAAGGGAAACGAAGATCGAAGAGAAGGAGAGGAAAGTGGAGGTAAAGGAGAAGGGAAAAAGAAAAGAGGAAAGAGAAGAAAAGAAAAGGGGAAAGAGAAGGGGAAACGAGAGAGAAGGAATGAGAAAATAAAGGAGTTCCTTAAAGTAGGAGAGGAGAAGAGGGAAGAGGTGCGGATGGAAGAAGGAAAGGAGGGAAAGAGGAAAGTAAAAGAAAAAAAATGAAAATGNGGTAAGGAAGGGGGGATATGGGGGAAGGGAGGGAGGGATAAGGAGAAGGGGGGGGGGAGTTGGGGGAGTTGGAGGTTTATTCTAATGCACTTAATGAGGTTCGGATCTTAATCAAATTGACTCAATCAATATTGGGATGTCAATGGCTCCCTCTGGTGTCGTTAGCGATGGGGGGGGGGGGAGGCGAGGGGGTGCGGGTGCCGTGAGAAGGAAGGAGGAAGATGCTGGTGGGAAGAGGAGGAGGAGGAAGAGAAGGAGATGATGGAGGAAGAGGAAGAGAAGTGATGGAGAAAAGGGGGGGGGGAGAGGAAGAGAAGGAGATGAGGAAGAGAAGGAGAAGTGATGGAGAAAGGGGAGGGAGAGGAAGAGAAGAAGAGGATGGATGGAGAAGAAAGGGAGGAAGAGAAAGAGAAGGAGAAGAAAGGGAAGGAAGAGAAGGAGAAGAGGCAGAAGGCATGGAGGGACGGGAGAAGAAAGGGGAGGAAGAGGAGAAGGAGATGATGGAGGAAGAGATGGAGAAGAAGAGGTAGAAGTGATGGAGAGACGCAGGAGGCGAAGAAAGGAGCCAAGAGATTTAGAGACGAAAGAAGGAGAGAAGTGGTAGAAAAGAATAGAGAGACCAGAGGAAGAGGAAAAGAAAGAGTAGAAGGAATATGGAGTAGAAAGAGAAGAGGAATGACTGAAAGGAAAGGAGAAGGAGGAGAAGGGAGGATGGAGAGACGGAAGAAGGAGGAGGAAAAGAGAAATTGGAGAGACTGGGAAAGAGGAAGAATTCACAGAGGAACGAGAGATAGAAGAGGAAAGAGGGAAAGGGAAATACAGAGACTAAAGAACGAGGAAGAAAAGGAGGAAGGAGCGACGAAGAGAAGGAAAAAGGAGGAATGAGAGATGAAGAGGAAAAAAAAGATAGAGTAAAGAAACGAAGAAAAGAATAACAACAGAGAGAGACGGCAGAGGAGGAAGAGGAAGAGAGGGGGAGGAGAGAACGGACGGACGGCAGGAAGGAGAGAAATGAGGGAAGGGGGAGAAGAATGATGAAGGGGAATAAGGAAGAGAAGGGTGAGGAGGAAGCGGGGGGGAGAAGCAGAAGGAAAGATGATGATGACTACGAAGGAAAAGAAGAGGAAAGTTTATGATAAAGAGTCACAAAAAGACAAAGATTTTTCTCCCTCTTTGTACACAAAAAGAAAGAAAATAAGTAAATAATCAAAGAAAGATGGAAAGATAAGAATAAAAGCAACAGAGAGAAAAAAAAAAGTTAAAAAGAGAAGATTGATCACAAGAGGAAAGGGAACATAACCAACGATAATAAAAGACGAAAGCCAAAGAAAAACGGCGATTGCGAAGGGAAGAGAGACAAGGGGTGAAATTAGAAGGAAGAGGAAGGAAGACCATAAGAGGGTTGGAGAGGGTGACGGAGGGGGGAGGGAGGGGGAGAGAAGGTTAGAGAGAGAGAGAGAAGGAGAAAGAGCTAGAGAGAGAGAGAGACAGAGACACAGAGAGAGAGACAGACAGAGAGAGAGAGAGAGAGGAGGAGGGAGAGAGATAGAGAGAAGAGAGAGAGGGAGAAAGAGTAGTGAGAGAGAGAGGGGGGGAACAGAGAGAGAGAGATAGAGAGAAGAAAGAAAGAGAAGGGGGGGAGGGGGAGAGAGAGAGAGAGAAGGATAAAGATCTAGAGAGAGAGAGAGAGGGAGGAAGAAGAGAGAGAGAGAACATAAAGAGAGAAAGGGAAAAAAGGGAGGAAGGGAACTGAGAGAAGAGGAAGAGAAGAAGAAAAGAATCAACAAAGGGCAAATACGAGAGGAAGAAGCGAAAGGACAACACCCAAACACCCAAAAAGTGGGGGGGAGAGGAAACCACATCGAAAAGACAAGGCGAGAGTAATGCCCAGTTACAGATTTCACGCTTGCCTCTTTGTCTGTTTGTTCCCATATGTCGATATGCTTCTCGCCCTGTGATTCATGCCTCGCCCTGTAATGCGGAGATGAGGGAGGGGGGGTGGGAGGGTTGTCTTAGGAAGGGAGAGGAGTGGCGGGCCGGGAGGGGGAATGGAAGGGAGGGGGTGGGCGCGAGGGCGAGGGGGGGAGGGTGTCTTAGGAGAGGGAGGGAGTGGCGGGGGAGGGGACTGGGGGGAGGGGAGGGAGGGGAGGGATGGGGGGGGGGAAGGGGGGAGGGGGGGGAGTGGAAGGGAGGGGGGAGGGAGAGGTGGGGGACGGGGGGGAGGGGAGGGGGAGGAGGTGGGAGGGAGGGGAGGAAACTGGAGGTGGGGGGGGGGAGGGGAGGGAGGGGGGGAGGGAGGTGGGGGTGGGGGGAGGGACTGGAGAGGGGACTGGATGGGCGGGAGGGGGAGGGGAGGGGAGGAGGTGGCTGGGGAAAGGGGGTTAAGAGTGATGCTTGCCTGGTGGGCTTTACAAAGGAGGATTGACTTTGTGTGTGTTTGGGAGGGGGGGGGGGGGAGTGTGAGAGAGTGTTTGTGTGTGTCTTGTCTGTTGTGAGTGTGTGTTTATGCTTATCTGCGTTTATGTGTGTGTGTGTTTGCATGTGTGTGGTGTTGTGTGTGGCGCGCGCGCGTGTGTGTGTGTGTGTGTGTATGTATTTGAAGTGCCCTTGGCTGGTTTGAACATCATATCTGAATGAGGTGCAATTTTTCCCTTCATTTTTCATTACAAATATTTTATAGAACTGCTAAGATGCTGTACAAATATATTATAGAACTGGTAAGATACTGGTATATTTCCTCATCATAAAACCATCCCGTAGTTTGTCCTTATCAAACTCTTATCGTCATTTTTTAACTAAACTGTTATCTACATGAATATACTTTTAACGTTTTCTCAAGATTATTCAAATTACTTCAAATTCTTTAACACAACCTACAAACCCCCACTAGTTATTAAACTGATATAAAAGGAAAAATAATAATTTCAGGAAAAATGATAATTTCAGGAAATTAATTTATTCATCGATAAACTAATAATAATGATAAGAATAAGAATAAGAACTGAATAAGAGTAAGAATAAGAATAAGAACAAATTAATAATAAGAGTAAGAATAAGAATAAGAACTGAATAAGAGTAAGAATAAGAATAAGAGATTAAAAATAAGAATAAGAACTGAATAAGAGTAAGAATAAGAATAAGAACAAATTGATAATAAGAACAAGAATAAGAATAAGAACTGAATAAGAGTAAGAATAAGAATAAGAACTGAATAAGAGTAAGAATAAGAATAAGAACTGAATAAGAGTAAGAATAAGAATGAGAACTGAATAAGAGTAAGAATAAGAATAAGAACAATAATAAGAACAAGAATAGAATAAGAAAATAAGCAGTAAGAATAAGAATGAGAACTGAATAAGAATAAGAACTGAATTAAGAGTAAGAATAAGAATAATAACTGAATTAATAATAAGAGCTGAATAAGAACTAAAAGAATGGAATAATTCGCAAAGAGATGTACTTGACGTGTTTTTTGAGAGAGGAAAATTTTCTTCAGAATGTCATTTTTTTATATTATTTTTGATTCTAATTATGAAATGATGTGAATGTGAAGTGGTTTGAGGATGCGCGTGATATTTTTTCCTTTTGATACAATTAAACCCTTTGAATCTTGAGATAGGAATTACCCATCTATGGCTATCCCTCTCTTTTCCCTTCCCCTCTTCCTCCCTCCCTTGTCCTTCTTTTCTCCCCCATCTCCCTCTCCTCTCTCCTCTTCCTTCCCCCTCCCTTGTCCCGTCTTCCCTCCCCTCTCTGTCCTTCTTTTCTCCCTCTCCTCATCCCTCTTCCCTCCCCTCCTTGTCCCTTCTCTGTCCCCCTCATCTCTCCTCTTCCCTTCCCTCCTCGTCCGTCTTCCCTCCCCCTTCTCGTCCTTCTTTTCTCCCCTCTCCTCATCCCTCTTTCCCTCCCCTCCTTGTCCTTCTTCTCTCCCCCTCATCTTCTCCTTCTTCCCTTCCCTCCTCGTCCGGTCTTCCCTCCCCTCCTCGTCCTTCTTTTCTCCCCTCTCCTCATCCCTCTTCCCTCCCCTCCTTGTCTTCTTCTCTCACCCTCCTCTCTCCTCTT